GCCAGGCCCTCGGGACTTCAGCCCGGCCCTCGGGACTTCAGCCCCTCCAAGGACCGGACGGCCAGCTTGGGCCCGGGGTGGACCCAAGTGCGGCTGGCTGGGGGACAGTGGGAGGCAGGGTGGAGGCCAGAGGTGAGGCTCCGGGGAGGGCGGCCTGCCTGTGGCCACGCAGGCTGGGCCCGGATCCCCAGGTCCCGTGGTTCTAGCCTGAGGACATCTGACCCTGAGTTATTCGGCCTTATTTCTACGAATATTTTCAACAGCACAAGGTTTCCAGGATGGCCCCATGGCCCCACCCTCTGTGACGTGACCCTGGGGACTTGTGAATCCGCTGGCCTCAACACAGGGAGAGTCTGTGGGGTGGGGGGCAGGGGAGGACATCTACCGAGTCACGTGGACTTTATATGCAGAGGGTTTTCCCTGGCAGGTGGCAAGGAGAGGTCAGGGGCTGGAAGCAGAAGTCCACACATCACTGCTGCTCAAGGTGGGCAGGACCACGGGATGAGTGACCTCTGCTTGCTGAGTGCCCCTCCCTGCCTCTGGCCAGTGCAGGAGCATGGCCTCCTGCGTCCTAGGCCTCCGGGAACTGAATTCTGCCCAGACCAGAAGAAGGGGCGTGGCTGGGAGCCATCCGGGGGCTTTCAGATGAGAAGTCAGCCCAGCCTGAGCACAGAGCCAGGCCAGGCTGAGACCAAGGTGTTGGCCGGACCGAGCCCCTTCCAGTCTCTGCTGCCACTTCCACGGGGCCTCCTCTGGGTGTGAGCAAGTCTCCCGCCTCGTCCCTCAGATAGAACACACATGCTGCATTTAGGGATCCCCCTATCCCTGCCACCAGAAAATCCAGGGCCGCCTCCCCATCTCAAGATCCTTGACATAACCACATTTGCAAAGACTCATATCAAATTAGGTCACATCTCAGTTCGGGGGTTGGGATCTCCCGTCTTTGGGGCTACATTCGGCCTCAAAGACAATCGAATTCCCTGATTGATTTTCCCTACAGGAGGGTTGATTCAGGGTTCTGGTTTTCCTTGTAAACTCTCCATCCCCCGAAGCTTCTCTCCTTAGTGGTTTTCTGGGCACATCCTGCGTCGTGCCTCGGATCTGAGGTCACGCCTTCCCAGCCCGGCTGCTCCAACCTGGAGTCGCAAGGGGTCGACAGCACTTCTGCCAAGCTTTATCCAAGCATAGTGTTTTCCGGGAGAGTTTTGGCTGCTATCAGTTTCATTTTGTGTTAATTTTTCCTAACAGCAAGCTTTGCTGTGAACGGGACAAAGGCTGTGAGGGAGGGTTGGTGAGGGAGGGGTGGAGAGGGTTAACGTCCTTGCTTTTCAGCCCTTCACCCAGTCCTGCAGGCGCTGCCTCTTAACACCTTGGAATGAGCTGGAAGGAGTGGCTGGCGAGTCCAGTGGGCAACTGACCCCTCCTGCAGGGTGGAGAGGGGTGAGGGGAGGGGCGGGGCTCCTTTCCTGAAAGCCCCCCCCCCTCGCCCAGCAACAAAGCCTGCTGGATTAGGCAGCAGGGCCTGAAGGGCCTGAGACTGGGTTTTAGGACCTGCTGGGTCAGTAATGACTCGGGAGAGGCCTGACGTCAGCGGGGGGCACACGTGTCTGCAGCAGGCTGGGAGGGTGGAGGAGAGGAGTGTTGGCCCCCCTCCGGGGCACTTGGCACATCTGACCACTGGGGCAAAGGGCTGTCTGCAGAGTGACCTCTTCCTTTCTGCCGGTATGGAGGCCCCGAGCCCCCGCTGTGAGCGGCAGGACCAACAATTGGATTTTGATTTTCAATTGTGTGAAGCATCAGGCTGGTGGATCACCGAGAGCTCCAGCTGCACCTTCTGTCTGGAACGGAGGGGCCGGGGAGACCCCAGCAATTCAGTCCTCCCGGCAACTAAACCCCCTCCCTCGTCAGGTTTGGCAGGGCAGGACAACCTTTCCTCTCTTGCTTCCAGGCAGGAGAAAGTCCTGGAGGTGGGGATGGGGAAGATGCCATGGCAGGCAGAGGTGACCCTCGGGAGCGGTCACGCGCACACGGCGGGGTTGGGGGGGAACTGAGGCTGCAGCTGGTGACTGTGACCCTGAGTGGGGAGGGGCAGGGAGAAGGAGGGAGCAGAGGCCGGGCCAGATGTGCGGCAGGTGGGGGGCCCGGCGAGTGGGCCCTCACGCCTGTAAGAGCAGGATGAGGCAGGCTTTGTTTAAGGGGCCAGTGGGGCCTGCAGCCAAGGAGCAGGTGGGTCAGTGGACGGAAAAGTACTAAGAGGCAGCGTTGGGGGTTGGGGGGGGTCCGGCTGAAGCAGAGGAGGTGCTGGGGAGAGTCGGCTGAAGACGCGGACGGCAGCCTGCCCTGGCTCACCTCCCAGGCCCAGCACCACCGCCGCAGCCCTGGGAGGGGATGGGGAGGGGATGGTGCTAGGCCAGGAGACTCCCGCCAGGAGCCCTGTTTCTGGGAAACAGAGGGTTCCGGCTAGCTGAGCAGCCGCTTCTTAAAGAGACCACTTTGGAAAGAACTGTTTTGTGTCAGAATCTCTCTGGAATGAGGGATGGATCCTGGAAGGCAAGTGCCTGGTTGAGGGTCCCTGTGGGATGGGGGCGTTGGGGAGGGGCTGGGGTCCAGCGGACGTGGGTTTGCAGATTGGCCCTGTCTTAGCCAACTGAGGAACTGGGGAGGGGCCGCCTGGCCCAGGTGTGGGGCTACCTGGGAATCAAAGGGGACCAGGGTGCCAAATGGAGCTCCAGGAGAACCTCCTCACCCCAGAAGGCGGGGGAGGGGCAGCGCTCAGCTGCCTCCCACCTCGGATGCCAGCCCCACCTGTCCCAGCGGCTGGTGAGGAGGTTCTAGCCTCCGCTTGGGAAGGAGAGGGGAATGCTGCTGGGGCCATCTCTTCAATCAGAAGGAAGACACTTTTATCCTTCTTGAAAACGTAAGCGTCACTGGTTTTAAAGTAGATATGTAATTCAGTTCTTTGAGGTGTTTTGCAAAGGAGATTTGCAAGAATATGCATGTCATCACTTAATTTTAGACATTTACTATATAGATTGTCTTAAAGTCAGATGCTCCTATTTTAAAAAAAAAAAATCACAAAAACCGTTAGGCAGCAAAGCTGGAATGCAGATCCAGGGATGGGAGACGCTTTCTCGCCCGTGGGGCTGAGGCCCCTCCTGGGGGGCTGGCTTGGGGAAGCAGCTGCTTCTCTGAGCCTGGGAACAGAGGCTGGACTGCGGGGCCACTGGACGATCTGTCCGGGCCCCTCCCCACCCCACCCCTCCTTTGGTGCTGGGACCCCTGGGCCTGCCGGGCCCAAGGCCTCGTCCCTGGCAGGCTGGCGCCGGGGTCTCCTCCCAGTGCCCTGGCCCGCCTCGGTCCCCTCGTTATCTCAGCCCTGCCTGGGAAGATCAATGCCTGATTTGCATAGCTGTCCCCGCTCGCCTTTCATCAATATTTAATGACAGGCCGCGGGACACTGTCGGTGGCAGAGCCTCCTGCGGCCTCTTCTAACGTGACAGCCAGAGGTCTTGGCAGGTGTCCGAGCTCACAGGTCATCTCCTCGCCGTGGCGGCCGGGGGGAGGGGGCGGATGGTGGGGGGCCTGGGACATGGTGATGAATTTTAACAAAGTGCCTGGTGGCCTCGCGGTTAGGGGCCTGCTGATATCTGGGTGGGCTCCAGATGGGAGGCGGGGCGGGGCCTCTCGGTGTGGGGCTCCGTGGGGGGGGGCGGGCCAGGGATGGGGCTTGGAGAGACTCAGCGGGAAGGACCATTTCATGTGGTTCAGCAGCTGCCCAGCAGCCCCCGCTCAACTGCCCCCCAGCAGGTGCCACCCCCGGGTGACCGCCTCCACCACCCTCGGCAACGGCATCACGGAGCTGCCCCTCCGTCCCCCCAGAACTGCAGCCTCTGCGAGAGAAGCCGGCCCAGCCCGCATCCCTGAGTCGGAGGCGGGGTCTGGAGACCCTGGGCTGTCAGTAAAGAAGGCAGCCCGGGGTCAGGCTGGGAGCCGAAGACAGGCCTGCAGGCCTGGATAAATGGGGGTGACGAGGCGACCGGCCAGGGGCGGGCAGTCTGTGGCTGCCGCCTGTCTCTGGGCCTGGTTTCCATGGCTGTAAATAACTCCGCCCCCGGGCAGGTGGGAACGCGGGGCCCCGTGTGCGTGGACGGTGGCCGCTCCTCCCGGTACGGAGGCCCCAGCTCAGGGAGGGTCCTAGCCATGGGTTTACAGGCCCCGGGGAGGCAGCAGGCGGGGGTGGTGGCTGCAGCCCCCCGTGGTGTTGGCTTTGGGGCTGGGTGGACTGGACAGGCCCGGCTCACTCCTCGGGAGGGAGAGTCCCCTCGCAGGTGCTGGCTCCAAGCCTCCAGGCCTTCTCGGGCACTGCCTTCATGGGAGGGGCTGCCCCCGGCTGGGACACAAAGTCCATTTCGCACTCATCGGTTCAGGCCAGTGGGAGCCTCTGCCACCCTCTGTGGCAGGGGCCTGGGCCACACGGTGGGGGGGCCCTCCGGGGCTCCCCATCCCTTCTCTGGGCCACAGACTCCTCCCCAGGGAGGACAGGGTGAGGGCCTCTCTGTGGGGGGTCCTCCAGAGGGACCGGCAAGGACAGGGTGTTGGCCCGGGAGTTTGCCGCCCTTTGAAGCTGGTTCCAGTCCAAGGGCTGATGCAGCAGGGTCATGGGCTCCCCTTGGGGCCCATGTGGCACAGGCCAGGCTGCACCGTGATCTGCACCTCAGTGGCCCCACCTGCAGATGGGGCCAAGGTGTCCTGGGGGCCGCTCGGCTGGGCCAGCCGGGGGCTCGGGGCCTGGGTCTGATTACTGTGCATGGAGCTGCCTCTGGGCCCACGGAGAAGCCCCGGCCCTGAGTCCTGATGGAGGAGATAAAAATGATGAAATGTGTGTTCTCTGACATGGAAACCAGACTCCCGTGTTTGAAGTAATTGGAAAAAGCCCTTCCCGCTGTCCTCTGTGAGCAGGTTACAGACCTGCCCCCAGCCTCTGGCCCAGCCCACCCCACCTTGGGCAGCCGCTGGGCCAAGCTGGGGTGCAGCGCCCCGGGAAAGTTAGGGAGCTTGGGGGACCAGGGTTGGGGGGGTGCCAGCTTCCAGGAGCCCCCCTGCCGGCCGCAGATGTCCCTGGGTGAGCTGGGAGCTGCGGGCATCCTCTGGCCGCGGGGACAGGCTCCCTGTCCTCAGACCTCGGCGGTGCAGGGGGGATGTTGGGTGAAATAGAGGTTAGCATTTTCATTAAACTGGCTGGATTTCTGCTGACTGGAGGGGACTGCTGTGCTCCGGGCCACAGAGCAGGGGGCCATGGCCCCGCCCCCGCACCACACTGCACCTCACCTCCTGGGAGGCCGCTGCCCCCACCCCGCGGGCCCTTCCTCCTCCGCTGAGTGAAGGACGCTCCCAACCATCACTTTACAGCCGCACTGTAGTCAGAGCAAAACACAAACCCCCAGCTCCCTGCGGTGACAACTTTGCGTGTGTACCTGTGTGCACATGTGTGTATGTGCATGTGTTTATCTGTGTCTATGTGTGTTTGTATGTATGCACACGCATGTTTATATGTGCGTATTTATGTGTTTGTATGCGTGCATGTGCATGTGTGTTTTGTATGTGTGTATGCATATGTGTTTGCATGTATGTATATGCACGGTTTTTGTGTGTGCATGCATGCGTATGCATGTGCGTGTTTTATGTGTATATGCATGTGTGCATGTATGTGCATACGTGTATGCATATTTGTGTGTGCATTTGTATGTGTGTATGTGTTGTGGTTTTGTATGTGTGCATGTGTATGTCTATTTGTATATGTATATATGTGTGCACTTGTTTGTATGTCTGTGTCTATGTGTGTGTACGCATGTGTATGGCTGTACCTGTGTGTACATGCATGTATATGTGTTTGCGTGTTGTGTTTTTGTATGTGTGTATATACATGTGTTTATGTGTGTGTGCGTGTGTATGTGCGTATATGTGTGTGTACGTGTGTATGTTGTCTGGTGGATGAGGCCCCTGTCTTTGGTTCTCAGCCTGTTTCTGTGAACTCTTATCTCCCAGGAGACTCTGGGGTCTGGTATCTGGGGAATCTCTCTAAAAAGATCTATGGATTGTCTCCTTCCCTGGTTGTTCCCTCACCCTAGCAGGCAGCTTGGTGGGGGTTAGATCTGATTTGGTCCAGGAGCTTGGGGAAGGGAGATCTGGGCCGGGGGCTGTGGTCCAGAGGCTGGATGTCACTCTGGATGGTGCGACCTTGCTGGTTACCAGAGCATGTGGCCTGAGGTGACTCCAGGGGGTGAGATGCCCAGGAGGGGCTCTGCAGACTGTCAGGCTGGCCCAAGGTTTGTCCACAGACTTGGCCAGTTGCCTGGCACACGCTCCCTCAACTGAGCCCTCCTGGCTGGCAAGGTGGGCTTCTTAACCCCATTTTGTGGGTGAGGGCTGCCCTGTCTCAGACCCCCCCGGTCACATTGTGACAGCCGGCCTTGAGTCAGGGGTCTCCAGACCTGGCCCGGGTTTTCCAGGGTCCAGGGAGGAGCTTAGTCTCTGCTTAGTCCGCTTAGTCTCTGCTTAATCCACTTAGTCTGGAGAGGCTCAGTCCACTGCCTCAGATGGTCTGGCTGGTGCCTTCAGCCCTGCTTCCCTGGCAGGGGACGGGTGGCTGTGACCAGTGGTGTGTGGACTCCTGGGCCAAAGAGAACACTGTGGTCCCCATGACTGGGGGAGCCAGAGCTGTGGACAGCAGAAGCACCTTTTTCGTGGGTACCCTGGTCATTGAATGACTCAGCCCTGGCCTGCTGGATGTGGTTTCACCTGGAGATGCTGAGGATTTGAGCCAGGCAGGTGGAAGGAGCAGGTCCAGGTGAGCTCCCTGGGCCCAGGAGTCCCGGCCAGCTCTCTGCCAAGGGGGACCATGGTGGGGGCACGCCAGGGGTGGGCTGGGCCCCACAGAGCTGTTGAAACACATTGGAGGGGGGCTCCAGGAAGTGGGGGGCCCTGCAGATGGCAAAGCGAATGCCTGCCTGAACTCACCCTTCCTCAGCCCCCCATCCCTACCCAGCCTAGGGTTGAGGAGAGGACACTGGGCTTGAGTGGCCTGACCTTGCCGCGTGACCTTGGGAGAGGCTCCCAACCTTCCTGGACCAAGTAGGACTAAAGGTGGGTGTCTGGCTGCCTCGTTCATGTTTCCTCCTGGGCCCTGGTCTCCATGGGCGATGTGGCTGGCAGGCAGGCTTGCTTCAGATCCTACCTCTGACCTGCATCCTGGGGAGTGACTTATGCTCTCTGGAGCCTCAGTTTTCTCATCTGCATATTGGGTTAATAAGGCCCATGACACCAGGCATTGGTGGTGAGTGGACATGATCACAGCAAAGCTCTGCACACCTCATAGCTGCTCTTGTGGGTGACGCAGGGCATTCGTCTGCCTCTGCCTCTAGGATCCGGAGCTATTAGCTGAAATAACAAGGTGGGCGCCCATAACGATGGGCTGTGAGCCCATAATAATTAGCTGGGTGCCCACGAGGTTGCTTCCCGACCCACGTTTGGTCTCAGCCCTGCTGCTGTTTCATCCATCTGCTGAGCCTCTGCGTGAATGTGTCTCTCCAGCTGCAGGGGACTCCCCGGTGCCCAGATCCCATCACCCGCCAGGAGCCCGCTTTCCCAGGGAGAGGCTGCTGTGCCTTTAAGAGGAAGCCTGTTAAGTTAAAGATACAACTTGTCCCTGGTGTGTGCGCCTGGCCGCCTCGGCAAACACGCGATAAATTACCATTTCCCCCTGCCGCCTGCCCCTCAGCTTCCAGACAGCCATGTCTTATTAACATTTACGTTGCATTTTGTGTGGCTAATATTGTCTTAGAGAAATTAGGGGGAGCGTATTAGTGTTTGATTTAGTGGCAGGAACCCTGGTGAGCATGATGTTTTTGTTCAGAGATGCGGGGGACAGGGGTTGGGGGTCCCTAGCTCCTTCAGGGACCAGGGAAAGGGCTGTTGGCTTGGGCTCCTCAGGCCAGACCCAGGCAGGTCTCCCTGGCTGCTGGGGTCAGTGGTCTGATGAGACAGCCCCCTGGAGGGCCTGGGGTGGGCACGACCCTGCCATGAGGAACGGGCTGGAGTGTGAGCAGGTCCCTGGCTCCTTGCTAAGGACCCGCTTCTGCCGTGACATAGCTGTAGAGCGGACTTGCAGATGCCGCCAGCTCTGCGTCTCCGCTTGCTCACTTGCTCATGGGGGCCAGGCCAGGGAGCATGAAATCCGTTATGGTCCTGTGGGGATGTGTCCACACTGCCTGTGTGTCTTCTGTGTGCTGGGCGCCAGGCCAAGAGAGGTGCACGAGACACAGTCCCGAGTCCCGGGGAACTCACAGACTTCCGGGGCTGGGGGTGTACCTGGTGGGGCCTGAAGCTTATGTGATTTGGTGGCGGGGGCGGAGTGTTTAAGGAATAAAAACAAAAATAAAGCTATCACATGAGTTCCAGGGCCTTGCAAGAGCCTGTGTGAGTGAAGGGTCTGCACTGAGCCTTCTTGAGGGACCGTCAGCAGGAGAGGGGCCCCCTATGTCCCAGGGATGAGACCTCTGGTTGGCAGGTACAGAAGCACTCACAATGGGTGTGGCTGAGGCCCCTGGACCAGACCTGGGTTGTGAAATCCAAGGACGGCTGGAGCCTCTGGAATGGGAAGGGCAGGAGGGGCTTCAGGGGCCACTGGGACCCGAGCCCAAAGTCTGCAGGAATCACCTGGCCCCTTACCTCCCAGGCTGGGCTTTGGGTCTCTTCCTGATTTGTTCCGGGTTGTGGCAAGCTTGTGGCTGGGGGATCCTGAATGTTACATCTTACACCTTTGGTGTAAGAGAGACGGACTTTTCTCTCCCAGCTCCAACAAGCCCAGTGAAGTGCTTCGCTTGTCCCAACTTGAATCAGGTGACTCTCTCAGGATTAATCAGCTGGGGCTGGGGTGGTAGGGCCACACTGTACTGACACAGCGGCTCTCGTAACAGCTGTGGGCGTGGAGAGCTGGGAGTGGTTCCTAGAAAGGAGTACTGGGCTAAGAGTAGCACCGGTCTCCTCTCTCACCAAGCTCAAGGCAGGGTTTACCTATAGGAATCACAGACAGCTTCACAGAGGAGGGGACATCTGGAGGGAGTTGTGCTGTATCAACAGGAGTTCACTAGACAAGCTGGAAACAGGAAACCTGAGGGAGTGGCATGGAGATTTGGAACTGATTGGGAAGAACAAATTGTTCGACAAGACTGGAGCATGGATCCTGAGCCACAATGATGGGGTGCAGGATGCAGAGCTTGGGAGAGAAGCTGGGTGCTGGGCTGAGTGGCCTTGGACGTCAGTCGAAAGATGATGGAGTTACAGAAGGACTTTCTCGGGGTGACAAGACTAGATCCTTCTCGTGGCCCCGAGGGGGTGGATGGAGGGGGACAGGAGACCAAGAGAGGCAGAGGGTCATGCCCCAGGTGCACTCTAGCTGGAGGGGACACCAGCATGCCTGGCCTCTGGTCCAGCCATCGTGCCCCTGAGTCGTGATCTCCGAGTCCCTTCCCCACCCAGGCCAGCGGCCACAAGAGTCTCCCAGTGCTCCCAGAGCCTGACTCTGCCTTCCCAGGCTGCCAGTGGTGCCAAGGTTGAAGCCTAGCTGGCCGACAGTGACCACAGTTGGCGCTTCTGTGAGCGGGTGTGGTGCTGGGCGCTGCGGCTCACTTGAGCCCCACCCTCTGGGCAGGTGCTGCTGTTGGTTCCTTTGCAGATGAATAGATGAACTCAGTTGAACCATGTCTGGCCCCTGAGTCTGAGCTCTGACCACGGGTTGGCCCCAGATGTCCCTAGCAGGGGCCCCCTGATCCTGGCTGCTGGCTAGCGGCCGGGTTCTTGTCCCAGGAGTTTGACTGTGAGCCGAGACCCATGGAGAGGGGCAGGAGGCGGGGTGGGGCCCGCAGTGAGACTTAGAGAGGCGGGGGGCCACAGCCATGGAGGGACAGCCAGGGGCCCCTTCCACGACGTGCAGCCCACGTGGAGAGGCTGTGAGGGGCGCTGGGGGGCCTCGGGCAGGCGGGGGCACTCAGGCCAGGGGCTGGATGCCCCTCCCAGGTGCCCACCCACGGCCGCCCTGCGCCCACAGGCCCCACTGACTGTGGCTGGCGCAAGGAGGGGCCGGGGCTGCCCAGCCCGGGTGCCCACACTCCCTGCTCCCTGCCCGCCCTCCCACCCAGCGGGCGTGGACAGCAGCTCCTGTCCGCCTGCTGGACGGCATCTCCATTTAGGCTGAAACGTGCTGAGCGGTGCTGCCCCAGTCAGCCCACGCACGGGACTGTCAGGGACCCCAGGGGGATGCGGGGGGCTGTCTGCAGGGCGTCAATGAGGCCTCCCTACCACCTGCTGCACGGGGATGTCCGTCCTGTCCCTTCTATGAGTGGGGCCCTGTCCCCAGGCCCCCCCAACTCCAGCGTGCTGCGGCTCCCCCTCGCGCTCGCCCGTCTTTCCTGACAAAGCGACCTGCTAATCCTGAGCATTACCTAGTGGGGAGCTAACCGAGTTCTGCGGGGCGGGCGGCATAAATTACCGGGCTGCTGCGGTTCCGGCAGGGGGCTGGGATTTATTTGCTTTGCGGCGATGTAGTCGTGGCCTTGGCTGTGTGCTATTTATGGTGTTTGATCGGCTTCCAGCTCGCCTGTCTGGGAGCATTTGTTGAGATGTTCTATTGAGCCCTCGGTGATGCCCGACACAGGTGGGCATCGATTGGCCTGGAGTCCCGCAGCTCTGTCTCCTCCCTGCCTCCCGCTCGGGACCCCTGCCCCGGGCTTGTAGGGGGCGTCTCCGGTGTGGTGGCCTCGGACGGGCAAATGGAGCTGCAAACTGACCCTGCCGTGGGGCACATGCCGGCTGGCAGGCTACGCGGGCCCCGTGCGAAGGCAGGGTGTGCAAAGGCGGTGTGTGTGAATGGGGTGTGTGTGAATGTGGGGTGTGCGAATGTGGTGTGTGCGAAGGCGGTGTGTGTGAAGGCGGTGTGTGTGAATGTATGTGAATGCAATATGTGTGAATGCGGTGTGTGTGAAGGTGGTGTGTGTGAATGCGATGTGTGTAAATGCAATGTGTGTGAATGCAATGTGTGTGAATACGGTGTGTGTGAATGCAATGTGTGTGAATGTGTTGTGTGCGAATGCGGTGTGTGAGAACGTGATGTGTGTGAATGCGATGTGTGTGAATGCGGTGTGTGTGAATGTGATGTGTGTGAATGCGATGTGTGTGAATGTGTGTGAATGCGATGTGTGTGAATGCGGTGTGTGTGAATGTCTTGTGTGTGAATGCGATGTGTGTGAATGTGTGTGAATGCGATGTGTGTGAATGCGGTGTGTGTGAATGTGATGTGTGTGAATGCGATGTGTGTGAATGTGTGTGAATGCGATGTGTGTGAATGCGGTGTGTGTGAATGTCTTATGTGTGAATGCGATCTGTGTGAATGTGTGTGAATGCGATGTGTGTGAATGCGGTGTGTGTGAATGTGATGTGTGTGAATGCAATGTGTGTGAATGTGTGTGAATGCGATGTGTGTGAATGAGGTGTGTGTGAATGTCTTGTGTGTGAATGCGGTGTGTGTGAATGTCTTATGTGTGAATGCGATCTGTGTGAATGTGTGTGAATGCGATGTGTGTGAATGCGGTGTGTGTGAATGTCTTGTGTGTGAATGCGATGTGTGTGAATGTGTGTGAATGCGATGTGTGTGAATGAGGTGTGTGTGAATGTCTTGTGTGTGAATGTGATGTGTGTGAATGCAGTGTGTGTGAATGTGTGTGAATGCAATGTGTGTGAATGCAGTATGTGTGAATGTCTTGTGTGTGAATGTGATGTGTGTGAATGTGGTGTGTGTGAATGCGATGTGTGTGAATGTGATGTGTGTGAATGTCTTGTGTGTGAATGTGATGTGTGTAAATGTCATGTGTGTGTGATTGTGGTGTGCGTGGAATGCGGTGTGTGTGAATGTCTTGTGTGTGAATGTTTTGTGTGTGAATGCAGTGTGTGTGAATGTGATGTGTGAATGCGGTGTGTGTGAATGTCTTGTGTGTGAATGTGATGTGTGTGAATGTGGTGTGTGTGAATGCGATGTGTGTGAATGTGATGTGTGTGAATGTCTTATGTGTGAATGTCGTGTGTGTGTGATTGTGGTGTGCGTGGAATGCGGTGTGTGTGAATGTCTTGTGTGTGAATGTTTTGTGTGTGAATGCAGTGTGTGTGAATGTGATGTGTGAATGTGGTGTGTGTGAATGTCTTGTGTGTGAATGTGATGTGTGTGAATGTGGTGTGTGTGAATGCGATGTGTGTGAATGTGATGTGTGTGAATGTCTTGTGTGTGAATGTCGTGTGTGTGTGAATGCAATGTGTGTGAATGCAGTATGTGTGAATGTCTTGTGTGTGAATGTGATGTGTGTGAATGTGGTGTGTGTGAATGCGATGTGTGTGAATGTGATGTGTGTGAATGTGGTGTGTGTGAATGTGGTGTGTGTGAATGTGGTGTGTGTGTGATTGTGGTGTGCATGGAATGCGGTGTGTGTGAATGTCATGTGTGTGAGTGTGCCGTGTGCACTATGCTGGGATCTGGGACGGCCTCGTGGGGACCGCTGCAGTGTCAGAGGCAGGCGCGCTGGCCACCACTTACGGAGCGGTTACCAGGTGCCAGGCTTGGGTTCAGACCCTTCGCCCAGCTCTCTCCCTGAGGGTGCCCAGCCACCTGAGGTTGGTGCCCCCACTGGGAAGCCGAGGCTCGGGTGGCCGAGGACTTGCCCGAGGGAGCCTGGGACTCTGGCGGCACCGTCTCTGTCTCTTGTGGTGAGAGGACCGCGGTCTGATCTCGGGGACCCGCCCTCCGTTTCCTGCCCCTGTGCGTCTGTGCTGATGGAGATGCTTGTTCCGAGGAGGCTAATGTGGTTTTTGTTCCCGGCCCAGAGAGATCTGATCACGGTAATTCCGTATTCACTTGCCTCTGTTTATCCCCCAAGCCCGGCCAGCACTGGGAAGCAGATTATCAGTGCCGGGCTTGATAAATTGGACTCAGGGCTGGAATGGAAGAGAAATCCTGTTTTATTATTGCAGACAAAGCTGGCGGGCGGGCAGCATATGTTGTGTTGGCAGCCCCTCAGTGCTCAGAGCCTCAGAGCAATCAGGGCCTTTCAAGAGGCCCCCCACCTGCACGGGAGGCAGGGACCCCATTAGCCTGGCTGCGGTGGGGGAGGGGTGACAGAGTGTCAGTGGGACGGAGGGGGAAGAGCTGATCAATGATGGGCAATCGATTCGCATCTTTCCCCTCGATTTGGCGTGGAGCAGGGTGGAGATGAGGCCTGCGGCGGGGGTGTTGGCCTGAATGGGGCCTGCAGAAGCTCAGAGGGTCTTTCATGTGGCGGAGGGTGGGATGAGGGCTGAGCGATGCTTTGTCAGATGCCTGGTGAGTATCGATCATATTAGAAATGATAATGAGCCAATTCTTCTGGGCTGGGAGGTCTTAACCGTTTCGTGGCTTGCTGGGTTGACCCAGGTGGATGTTGGAACCCTTCCTGGGTCTGCAGTTGATGCGCTGCATGTCCTGGGCTGTGGCCTGAGCCCACCCACAGTCCTGGAGATCTGGCCAGAAGGGCCGGGGCCCTGGGCTAGGAGCCTGGTGCCGATGGGCCAGGGTCAGACCCCGCGGGGTTTAGTGAGCACCCAGCGGCTCCCTGGCCCTGGTGCATCTCCCCAGCCCCTGCGAGGTGGGCAAGGGTGACTCTGACTGTTGTTCCGAGGCCCTCCACTGTTGAGTGGCTGGGCCTCTGCCTGCCTTTCTTCCCCAGCACGACACTGCCTCTCACACCTGCCACTCACTCCCTGATGAAGCAGTGACTTTTGTCGGTCACTTAATCCCTCTGAGGCCCGCTCTGCTCATCTGTAAAGGGGGGGCTGTGACAGACTGGCCGGGAGAATTCAGAGGACAGGGACGAGTGCTTTGTACACCCTAGTCTCTACCATAAGGCCCTGCCTGAGCCCCAAGGGGGCTCCAGTTATGTGTCTGCCCACGTAGGTGAACATTTCATGTCGAGAAGCCTGTTCCTCCAAGGAGGGAAGGATGCCGTGCCCCCTTCCAGATGGTCGTGAGAACCAGATGAGTCGATGCTTGGGAAGTGCCTAGCATGCTGTGTGCTCAGTCGTTGAGTTGTGTCCGACTCTTTGCAACCCCGTGGACCGTAGCCCACCAGGCTGCTCTGTCCGTGCCATTTTTCAGGTAAGAACACTGGAGTGGGTTGCCATTTCCTTCTCCAGGGGATCTTCCCGACCCAGGGATCACACCTGAATCTCCTGCATTGACAGGCAGATTCTTTATCACTGAACTACCTGGGAAGCCCACCTCGCATGCAGTTGGTGCTTAATAAAAGATGACTATCATCCTTGTCGTCATCAGCGTTGTCACTGTCAACATTATCATCACTATCACTGCCGTCAACAGCAGCACCGCCACCATCATCGTTATTAACACCACCACCACCACCACCACCATTACCACCACCTTCACCATCATTGCTACCACCACCATCAACCCCCCATTATCAGTACTATCACCATCATCATCATTATAAACACTACTATCATCACCAGCATCAACACCACCACCATCACCACCATCATCATCAACCCCCCACCATCATCACCATCACTACCATCATCACCAGCATCAACACCACCACCATCACCACCATCATCATCACCCCCCCACCATCATCACCATCACTACCATCATCACCAGCATCAACACCACCACCATCACCACCATCATCATCAACCCCCCCACCATCATCACCATCACTACCATCATCACCAGCATCAACACCACCGCCATCACCACCATCACCATCATCATTACTACCATTATCATCAACCCCCCCACCGTCATCAATACCATCACCATCATCATCATTATAAACACTACTATCATCACCATCACCACCACCATCACCACCATCACCATCATCACCATCACTGAGATCATCACCACCATCACCATCATCACCATCACCGAGATCATCACCACCATCACCACCATCACCATCATCACCATCACCGAGATCATCACCACCATCACCACCATCACCATCATCACCACCATCACCACCATCACCATCATCACCATCACCGAGATCATCACCACCATCACCATCATCACCATCACCGAGATCATCACCACCATCACCACCATCATCATCATCACCATCACCGAGATCATCACCACCATCACCACCATCACCATCATCACTGTCGTTGCTATGGCCACTGTCCTCACTATCGTTGTTGTCGTCATCTTGGAGATAATGCATTCCAGACAAAGAGGGTGCAGAAATGAGGCATCCCTGGAGAGCTGAGGCAGAAGAAGGATGATATTAAAAAATGATTTTATGTCAAAGGAGTGAACAGGGGGAGAGGGAGAAGCTGATAGTGCAGAAGAGACACTGCTGGTTCTTGGAGCAAGACACTTGCTTCTCTCCTCTCTGTTTTCTTCTCAAGATTTTCTCTTTATCACTGTTGTTCAGTGGTTTGACTACGACATGCTTAGTGTGTCTCTGTGTGTGTGTTCACACCATTGGGAGTTTGCTGAAATTCTAGAATCTGTAATTGACATTTTCTTCAATAGTATTGAAAAGTATTTTTTATTTTCATAATACTTTTCAGGATATTTGACCATCCTATCTTCAAATATCTTTCCCACCCTTTTCCCTTCTCCTTTCTTTTTAAAATTCCAGTTGTACATACCTCCCAGGCCACCTCAGCCCCCTGAAGCCCTGTTAGAAAACATGGGTTTTATTTTTCGTCAGGCGTGGTGAAGCCACCAGATCATGCAGCACCAGTGAAGAGAGTTTTCCCTTCACAGATCCCGGGAGAAGGGGGTCACGCTGCTCTGTGTAGGGCCAGACGGGGACACGCCAGGGTCGGTCAGGAGAGAGAGGGTGAGGGGAGAACTGTGAGCCAACAGCCTGTGTGTTTCCACCGTCAGGGCAGGGTCCAGGGAGCAGGCTTAGGAGCTATGCCATCCTGGGCATAGGGGTGTCCCTAGTTGTTTGGTACCTGGCCTCAAGTAGGGATGGTCAGGGAGAATGGGTGAGTGTGATGTGAGCACCCAGTGAAGAAGGTGCTTGGCGAGTGGGCTTGGACTGGCTTGTTTGTCTATGAAAGATGCGCTGGAGCCATGCGGCATCTCTAGGAATTGGCTGCCCTGGGCGGTGGTGAGTTGGGTCTCTCCAGGGTCAGCAAAGCCCCACATGTCAAAGCATCGGACTAGAAAGAGGTGCTTAATGCAGATACTCTTCATGTTCTGAAATTCCTCCATCTCTTTGTTCTTCAGATTGAATACTTTCTATTGATCCGCCTTTAATCTTCCTGACTCTTCTACAATCTCCAGTCTGTTGTTAAATTTACCCAGTGATTTTTAAAAAAATTCAGTGTTATATTTTTTGGCTCTCGAATGACTGTTCTTGTTTATAATTTCTGTTTTTCTACCGAGGTTCCACAAAGAATTACATAAGACTTTTAATTTAAACCCTGGATGTAGTTATCATATCTGTTTTAAATGGCATTTATCTCTTTTTTTGCATAATCAATTTTTTTTTATTACACACTGGACGTTGTAAGAACTCCTCGAAGAGCCTTAGGCTTGGCGGACAGGCGGTCACAGGAGGCCTGTCTGGAGATGGGGCGGCATCACCACGCTCCTGGGGAGAGATGGCAAGCTGGAGGCCAGACAGGAGCCAGGCTGGGGGGGCGGCGGGGCAGTGCAGTGGGCATACAGAGATCAAGCCACCCACAGAGTCCCTGAGAGGACCGCCTGCAGGCGGGCCCAAGCTGGGCCTGAAGGCTGCAGGGTGAAGGGGGCCGTGGGCGCGGCAGCTTCCCCCAGGCTCGGGCCTTCCATTGCCAAGCTCTCGGCACGAGCTCCCCGGCCCCCACCCCGAGCTGGCAGTCAGGCCTGCCCTCCCCCAGGAGGAGGATGAAGGACTCTGGGCTCCGGGGCAACCGCAGCGATCAGCTCCTTGTCAGACAAAGAAAGCGCTTCTTAATGTTCCGATTAATTATTGACCAGCGCCGCGCGTGCCTGACTGCTGCTTCCTGCCAGCCGAGTCCGGTCCCCGCTGCTGCGGGCGCTGGCGGAGCGGCGGGATCCCCGGGGTGACGGTGACGCCTCATCACTCACCTTCTTGTGGGAGGGGAGCCTGGACAGACAGCGAGGGCTCCTGCCGTGGGGGCTGATGCTGCCCTGGTTCCGCAGGTCCGCACCGCAGCCGCCCCCGGACGGCGCCCCTCAGCACAGGCCCCGCGCCCCCGACGCCCCGAGGTGCCCCGGGCTGGGACCCGGAGCCACGCCTGCGGCGGGTGATTTGCACTTTGAGTGAAGCAGAATAAGCAAATCACAGGGCAAAGTACATTCTTCTTGGCTTTTTGTTCTTATTTTATTGTAAAATACAGCACTCAGGCCGAAAGGTGCGTAAATCAGAAACGTAGGAAGCGGTGAGCAACTGTGAGCACGGCTCCCTGCGACCTGAGCCGCTGCCTCTCCGCCCGGCGCCCCGCCCCGTCCGCGCTTCCCCCCGCCCCGCCAGCGGACCCCTCGCGGACCGCGCGGCCACCCCTGCGCGTTCTTCCTCCTGGCCCCCACCCGAGTCAGCAGCCCTCCGCAGGCTGGTGAAGCTGTCCCTGGTGGCGAATTTCACATAAAGGGAATGAAACGTGATTTCCCCTTTGGTTCTTGTTCCTTTCCCCTGCCGTCTGTTGTGACATCCAGCCGGTTTTACAATATTGCTTCTCCCAGCACGGCCCCTGTGGTCTCTGACTCTCTGGGTGGAGGCCCCCGGGGAGCCTGGATCCCTGCTGACGCCTCTCTCGGATACATCGCAGTCTCCTCACTCATCCCACTGCTGAGGGAAAACCGCTGCTCCCGCGTGGCTGGCCCAACCAGTACCAGTAAGGACAGTCTTGCCCGTGTCCCCTGGGGCGTGTTTTCTGCAGAGGAGAACTGCTGGGTCATAGGGCGAGCCGGCCTTCAACCTTTCTAGAGAATTCCGATCTGGGTGTTTTTTTTCCTTTTGCGTTATAGACTTTTATTTTTGAGTAGTTTGAGGTTGTTGGGGCAATCGAATGGAAAGCACAGAGCATCCTCACCGACACCCAGCACCTTGCTCGGGCCTGTGCACTTGTCACACTTGTTGCAGTGTTGGCAGATGGTTACTAGCAGAGCCCGTGGCTCACATTACGACTCACCCTGTATTGTCCTTCCTGTGGTTTGGATGGATGTGTGATGTAGTAAGTCTATCACTGCAGCATCACCCAGCCTTGTTTCTTTGCCCTAAAATGCCCGCGCCCCACCCAGTCCACTTCCCAAAGGGACTGCCCCCTGGACACTGAGGCCGGCGCCGATGGGGCTCCTGACGTGAGGTGCTTGGTATCATCAGAACTCACAGTTTCTGCCCATCCGCTGGGACCCAGTGGAACCTGGGTCCTGTGATTCTGTTCCGGGTTTCCTTGGCTGCTGATGGGCCACTGTTCACATGTTTACCTCTGTGTGGGTTTCCCTTTTGTGAAACACCTGTTGGACTCTCTCCTCTGTTTCTCTCCTCTGCAGAGACCTGCAGCGTCTCTTTTTCTTGCTGACGCCCTTCACACATCCTCTGCATGAGGCTTCACGGGCTTATCTTCCCTCTTTCATGGGGGTCTTCTCTCTCATTCCAGGGGCCTCCTCCACCCAAACTTTCTAAGGTTATTTAATGTGGTGGAATTTATTAATCTTTCTTGTTGGTTAAAGCTCTTAGCATCTTATTTAAAAATTCTTTCCCTGTTCAGAGTCGTGATGCCGTGACCCCATATCATCCTCCCCAAGTTTGGTGTTTTGTCTTTTCCACTTGGGCTATCCTGGGGGCTCAGACGGTAAAGAATCCGCCTGCAATGCAGGAGACCTGGGTTCGATCCCTGTGTCGGGAAGATCCCCTGGAGGAAGGGAATGGCGACCCACTCCAGCCTTCTTGCCTGGAGAGTTCCATGGACAGAGGAGCCTGGCGGACTACAGTCCATGGTGCTGCAAAGAGCTGGGCACAACGGAGCGACTAACACACATTTGGGTCTGTACATTTTTTTAATGGATGAATTGTATTTATTTTTAATGTGTATTTATTTATTTATTCTTTGGCTTTGCCACAGCATGTGGGATCTTAGTTCCTTGGCCAGGAATCAAACCCATGCCAGCTGCGTGGAAGTGTGGAGTCCCAACCACTGGGCCTCTAGGGAAGTCCCCTGGGTCTGTGCATTTACTTAGGGTTGATTTTGTGCATAGTGTGTGGAGAGCTCCAAATTAATTTTCCCTCTGTTATTGCAAAGGCTGTCTGTCCATCCATGCTCTGGGGTCCAGCCTCCATACTAGTCAAGTGTTCATCAACTCCCAGGTCTGTAGCTGGGATCTCTGCACTGTGCTGTCTGCTCCCCTTTCCTGGCATCACGTTGATTAGAGCAGGCTCCCCACTCCTCCTCCTCCAGGGCCTCTGGGCTGGTCCAGGTGCTTTGTAATCCCATGGACCTTTTAGGGTCAGCTTGTCAACCGCCCCAGAGCCACAGCAACAAGCCCTGTTGGAGTTTTGTTTGGAATCTCATGGAACCAAAACGATTTGGGGAGAAGCGGCATCATTGCTGTGTTGTCTCCCAGCACGTGGACATGGCTGTCCGTCTGGTGTTCTTAGCTTCCTGTCATATGACGTTTAGCCTTCTTTCCCAAAGCCTTGTGTAACCTTGTTAGGAATACTGCTAGACAGCCAGCCTCATCTGATGCTTTCACGTCACATTTCTACTCTGTCCATGTCGCCGTGCTGCGTTCTGAGCAGTATCTGCAGGTGCACGGTCTCGCCTCCGCCGTGTACAATCTGCCATTGAACCCGTCCACCTGGCTCGTGTCTGCGGGGATTTTTCAGGTGTACACAGTTTTCTTCCGTTCTTTTCTCAATCTGCTCTGATGTGTGCGGTCTTTTTCAGTCTCTGCAGGGTTTGGTTTTTATCCTTCAGAAGATCATTCTCCCATATTTCATGCTTGTAACTTCAGAACCCAGACTCTCTATGCATGCGTTTCTGTTGTCTGTGTCTGCAGGCTGCAGACCATGGAGTTTTATTTACGGTGTGGGGGGGCTGCCCTTGTGTGCTAGAGAATGCTTTTGGAAAAGTCCCGGTGGGAGTCATATGCACCCTAGGAGGGAAGACTCTGCCTTTAGAGATGGTTTTGGCTTGCCTTTCCCAGGTGCCGTGCAGGGCAGTCCACCTGTAACTATTCCAGGCAAAATCAAACCTTGATGTTTCCTGGGTGGGGACCTTATCACCAAGTGTGAGCCCAGGCAGGGCTGACGTGCCTCGGGGCCCCTCGCCCGGAGCCAGGCCTTCGAGCTGAGAGGGCGGGAGTGTTGTCAGAGGCTGCCTCCTAGCAGCTCTGGGGTCCTCTGCGCTTGTGCCTCTTTACCAGCTGTCTCTCCAAAGACGCACGTGCAGCATCTGCTGAGCCCCGGGGTGTGAATACTCCCACTGCGGCCGATTTCAAGCCGCCTGCAGGCACCACACCGAATGCCGGTGCCCACAGTCAGCTCCCGGCAGCCAGAGGGCCTGCTCCGGCCACCTCCACGGGTCCGCCAGAGGGCCTGCTCCGGTCACCTCCATGGGTCCATCAGAGGGCCTGCTCTGGCCACCTCCAGGGGTCTGCCAGAGGGCTTGCTCTGGTCACCTCCACGGGTCCATCAGAGGGCCTGCTCTGGCCACGTCCACGGGTCCATCAGCAGCCTTTTAAGCAAAAGCAGGTCTGACGTCCTTCCGGGCTTACCTTGCTGGCCTCCTGCCTGCTCTGAGTCTGGGGCTGGGGATGCATTCCTCGTGGTCTGATTTGTTCTTTTCTGCTTTAAACTAGAACCACTCCCATCCAGCTGTTCTGGTTGTCAGGGCTGGCCCCGCTCACCTAACCTGTTCTTACTGGAAGCAGACCCCCTTTCTTTTCTGTTTTCAGGATCATATCTGGTCATGGTGGGAGAAAGTGGAAACTGCAGGAGGAGGATGAAGAGCACCCCGCAGGAGGCTGCTGTGGACCCTGCGGGGACTTTTCCTTCTGGCCCAGGGCCTGTGCTGTGGGCAGAGAGGGGCGCCTTTGCACAGAGCAGGACAAGGCCAGGACACAGAGGGTGGTGACCACAGGGCCTGGCCTTGGCAGCGCCTGCAGCCTCTCTGAGCCTCTGTCCCCTCCGCCACCGAGGGACCGTCCCCTGCTTTCCTCAGCCTGCAGAGATAAGCCAAGCCCCCCTTGGTCTGGCCACTTGCTGCTCAGGGGACATCAGGGGACCAAAGGCTCCCTGCGGGCAAAGCAGATGCGAGCGAGGGGTTGTCAGCGGCCGCGAGGACCAGCCCTTCCACCCGGCTGGCAGGGATCAGGCCAGCTGTCGTGCTCTGTGGAATCCTGGGTTTATGGGGAGCCCGAGCCCCAGAAATGCCCAGGAATGCGTTCTTGGCAGCCCAGGAATCGGAAAATGTGTCTCCCGGGACAGCATTCCTTTCCTGGAGCACAGCTGCCCGGCTCATGCTTTCACCCTTGAGCCATGAATAGTCCTTGTCCCCGACCCCGAATTCCTGGCTGGCCCCAAGATACGCCGAGGCTGCTCCTCATGGCACCTGTCCCTCCTGCCCTCCCGTGGGCCCGGCAGGTGGCAGAGGGGCCCGGCACGCACTAGCGAGGGCTGGGGAGGGGTCCCGCAGGCGCTGCGGGGGCTGGAGGTCTGCTGACCGAGGCGGTGGGGCAGGTGCTCGGGGCTGGGATGGAGCCGGTGACCGTGGCCCTCACCCCGCGTGGGAGGTGGGCACACTGCCAGGGGGGAGGCTGGGGTCCAGAGCTCCAGTCCTCACACTCAGGATGGCTGCCAGGGCCTGGGGCAGCGGAGGCCCCGGAAACGTCATCCCGCCCCCCCCCCCCCCACCACCTGGGTCGGTCAGCTGTCTTCCTCCTGACCTGAGGGGCGGGAGGGGGCAGGAGACGGAGGCGGGGGGACACACAGGGGTCCCTGGCACACCTAGGCTTGCCCGCCGCTGGCAGGGGAGGGCTCTGACCAGCACCAGCCTCTGCCACTTCCCTGCTGTCCGCACTCGTCTCCCCTTGGTGGGCAGAGGCCAGAAGGATGGGGGATGTGCCCCCCGAGCCCCTGCCCTTCCTGGCCCGGCCGGGCTCTGTCCCCAGCAGCTGCCCCAGCAGTGTCCCTGTCCCCTCCGCTCCTGGAAGAGATGACCTGGCCTGCAGGGTTAAGCCCCTTGGCCCAGACGTGGGTCTTCACAGAGGCTGGGGTGGGAGTCAGGCCAGGTAATCACCCCCCTACCTCCCATGTCTGAGCTGATGGGAACACGATGAATGGCTGGAGCGTGACCCGAGCTCTTGCCCCAGGTCCGGCCTGGGCGTGTTACCCTGCCCAGCAGTGTGAGCGCCCCAAGCTCTTGGCATCTGACCAGCCACGTGGTGGGTGGTGACCCTGGATAAAGAGATGAAAGGAAAAGCCTACTTTTGGGGGAGACCGAGGCTCTGGGGGTCAGTGAGTGGGGCTCAGGCTCCTGGCTGGGCCCCCAGCCCAGCGCCCCTGAGGTCACAGGTTGTGGGAGCAGCAGGACGCCCAGGGCACCGGGCCCCCTTCTCTCCATGTTGGCTTCGCTGTCGAGGGTGAGGGGCCAGGAGGGGTGGGCTATGAGCAGATCCCCAGGCCGCGGAGGCCTCCGCAGGGAGCCCGTGCGGGACTGACCTGAGGCTCATGCCCCGGGGCCTTTGCAGGCCTGCAGATCCCTCCGGTATGACAGAGGTTGTTGAATGTGTCGGCATGCAGTGTCAACACACCAGCAGGATGGCTCAGCCGGTCCCCGGGGCCCCGGGGGCGGGAACACAGAGAGGGCGCGTCCCTGCCTACGCGCCTCTCCCAGGCTGGCCACTGGCCTGGGCTGCTGCTGGGGCCTCGACCAGGGCCAGGACTGTGTCCTAAGGCAGAGACAGCCCTGGTCAGAGCCCTGAGCTGGCTCCAAGCCCGCTGGGGCCGGCACGGGACGCAGACGGGATGGCGCATGTGGGAGAATGCCGAGTACTGTCCCCTTGGGGCAGGGGACACGCCTTCTGCCTTCCTGCGCCTGTGCCTGACCGGGGGCTCCCGGGACATGGGGAACAGCCCAGGGGGAGCCTGCCTGGCTCTCTGCAGTGTGCGGCGTGTCCCCAGGGCCTGGAGGCCTAACAGGGCCAGCCGGCCCAGCCAGAATCAGGAGGCTGGCTCTCTGCAGTGCCCCAGCTGTGCGTGAGTGTGTGTGTGTGACCCAGGAGGGGCCAGGCCTTTGAGGGTCCATTCCTCTCTGGGACCCTGCTGAGTAGGAATTTGGATGAGCTGTGGCCCCACCAGGGAACAGTGGTGGGGGGGCTCGGGGAGCCCAGAGGACCTGGGAGGGGGCTGCTGTGGCCCCTTCAGTCACCCTGTGGAAAGCTGGGGGCTCCGGGATGCAGAGCTGAGGGTGGAGAGCGGGAGGCCCTCGAGGAGCTGACGGGCAGCACCATGCTGGGATGGCCGGGGAGAGGGGACAGTGGCTCCGCTGTGGCCGGGGCTGGACGCGTGGATGGTCCCCCTGGGGGTGCTGCTGGGCGGGGTGGCAGGGTTCCTGAGAGCTTCTGTGGCCATCTCTGGGCACCTCATGGGGTCCGTCTCCCCAGGGCCCCTCCTGGCTGGGCAGCTGGGTGGGGCGGCGGGCTGGGCTGGACCCCGCAGGGCACGGCTCCTTCCGAAGTTCCAGCCTCAGCCCCAGGACTCCTCCGAGCGGCCACCTGCCTTCCGGACCAGGGTCTGCAGGGAGAGCGAATCACTGCAGTCTGGTCTGTGGGTAATCTGCTCCTTTGTGGAAGTGCTGCGGCTCTTAAAAGCCCCGGTGAATGCCTTTAGGAGAACAGGACAGCGCTGATGGGGAAAATCAATAGCCCTGCTCTCCTCCCAGGTCGCGTTTGCCCAAGCGCTGTGCTGCGCTGGGCAGTGTGGGTGTCACCGATGTCTTCCGCTCAGTCCGCCGCTGGACGCAGCTCGGCCTGCAGGCCGGAGGGTAGGTCCCATGGAGCGTGCCGAGGCCCAGGGGAAAGCGGGCCCGGGAGGCCCTTCCCTGCGGCCCCTGGAGGGGCAGACCCGGGGTGCCCGTCCCTCTGCCCACTTAGGTCCTTTCTGCTCTGTGATATCGCCGTCCCCCGATGGATGAAAAAACCAGCTCCCTTGGACGGAATTCTGCCCGGGAAGAGCAGCCAGAGGGCCGCTCGGAGCCGCAGACTTGCCCTGGGCCTTCTGTGGGGACACCAGCTGTCCTCTCGAAGCTCAGGTGAGGCTGGGTCCTCCCAGCCAACATGGGGTAGGCGTGGGGGAGCTGGGGGCTGATCTGGCCACCCTGCGGGGACCCCTGCCTTCCGGGGGGATATGTGCCCAGCTCATCCACCCCAACCTCACCACCCCTAACCTTGCCAGTGGAGGGGCCCCGAGGAGAAGCAGTTAAGATCTCAAACTTCTCCCAAGTGATAATCAGACTAAATGGTGATCTGAGTTCTGTAACAGCAAATTAAATATACATAAAAGCAGACTTAGATGGTTTACAAAGTTTCTGAAGCAGAAGCGAGCCAGGTGGAAGGAGATGGGGGGGCAGCGCCTCCTCCTCCCTTGAGCTCGGGGGTCCGGTGCCTGGGGGTGGGCTCCTCGGGGGCTGCTTTACCTGCCCTCTGGACAGCTGCGCCCGGTGACAGTGCAGAAGGTCCTGGCCTTGGGGGCTCCTGCCCTGCCCCCAGGGTGCTCCGGGAGTGGCGGACAGCTGAGGGAGCCGGGGGGCTGCGTGCTTCTCCCTGCGGGGCTGATGCTATAGCTGCCAGGCGACGGCCCCGGGCCCGGGACATCTCGTGGGACGCTGGTGCCAACCCCGGGGGGCTCTGCTGGTGGTCACAAGTTTCAGTGGGGGGCCCGAGGCTCGGCGGTGGGAAGGGACCTGCTCCCATGGGAGAGGGTAGGACACGGGCTGGGCCAGCACCGGGGCCCACCTCCTCTCTCCAGGCCTCCGGGGCTTAGGGAGCCGCTGGCCAGGGGCCGGTGAGCGGGGCATGGGGCAGCAGGGACTGAGGTGTCTGAAGCCTGCGGGGGAGTGGCCGGGGGCAAGGCCCGGAGGGGGTCACTGGGTAGGGGCAGTGAGAGTGGGGGTCTGAGGCGGTGGGCCTGGGGGTGGCATCGGTTCCCTGCGTGCACAGTGGGTCCCGTGTGACGCTATCTGTAGTGGCCTCGCGGGCCAGGAAGGCTGGGCTGACCCGAGGGCTTTTCTGCGGGGGGACTGAGGACACCCGCGGCCACGGAACAGCTGAGAGGGGCCAGAGGGGAGCGCCGTGGGGCAGGTGAGGGGGTGAGGGCACTGGGAAAGGTGGGGGGCGGAACGGTGGAGGGGGCAAGGGGGCCAAGGATGGGGGAGGGGCTGGGGAAGGGGGCGTCCCCATTGGTGGGCAGAGGGGACGCCGCTCTGGGTGAAGGTTAGACTGGGTGTCTTGATGGCGGTGGGCAGAGGGGACCCCGCTCTGGGTGAAGGTTAGACTGGGTGTCTTGACGGCGGTGGGCAGAGGGGACCCCGCTCTGGGTGAAGGTTAGACCGGGTGTCCTGACACTGGTGGGCAGAGGGGACCCCGGTCTGGGTGAATGTTAGACCAGGTGTCCTGACGTTGGTGGGCAGAGGGGACCCTGCTCTGGGTGAAGGTTAGACCGGGTGTCCTGACACCGGTGGGCAGAGGGGACCACGCTCTGGGTGAAGGTTAGACCGGGTGCCCTGAGGGGCCTGTCGGCCTTCAATGGAACCTGGCAGGCAGCTCATCCATCCGTCCACCGTCCACCCACGAGTCATTACTCATAGTCCATTCACCATCCATCCGTCTGTCCATTCACCCACCCACCTCTCCCTTCTCTCCTTCAGTCCTTCTCCCCCTTTCCTGCCTTTCCCGAGTTCACTACAGCCTCTGTGAACATGCTCCCTGTCTCTGATGTGGGAGGGGGTCTGTAGCTGCGAAGCCCCCTCCTCACGCCTCATCTCACCGCCCAGAACAGCTGCCCTCCGGCCTTGCAGGCTCAGGCCTGACTCCCGGCCCGAGAGCTGGGTGGCGGGCAGAGGCTCTCCCCAGTCCCCTTGAGTCCTCACCGAGGCAGGTGGCCCCTTGTCCAACCCTGATTGGCCCCTTAGCTGCTGGGGTTGGCCTGGTGGCTCACGTCGCGGAGTCGAGATGCTGCCGGGGCTGTGATGAAACCCTGCTGACAAGTGCGGCCCTGCTCGCAGCTCCGCAGATGGCCGGCAGGCGGGTGGGCTGCAGGAGGAGCCTCCCTGGTGTCCCCCTGGAGCCCTGGTCTCTGAGGTCGAGGGTGGAGTGGGCACGAGTGCCCGGGGGCCTTCAGGTCAGTTCTCAGGACCCGCCTAGGACCAGAGTGCCTTTTAGAGCCAGTCCCAGGCACAAGTGGTCCCTGAGGCTCAGTCAGACCTCAGGGTCCGTGGGCAGCACAGACCCCTGGCCCCCACAAGAGCTTCTGCTCCCGCCCTGGGCTGAGCCCAGAGCCCCGAGCAGGGGCCTCCAGAGACCACTGATCCCTCCCACAGTGTCGCAGCAGGGCAGGGAGGTGGCAGAATGAACACCTCTGGGTGAGCCTGGTGGGGGGACAGGCTCACAGCATGCAAGCCCTGGGCCCCCCATCACTTCTCCCTGACCCCTGCAGACCTGCTCAGAGGGGCTGGTGTGTGCTCAGCCGGCTGTCCTGTCTGGCTCTTTGCGACCCCCTGCACTGTAGTACACCAGGATCCTCCGTCCATGGGATTCTCCAGGCAAGAATACTGGAGTGGGTTGCCATTTCCTCCTCCAGGGGATCTTCCCGACTCAGGGATTGAACCCAGGTCTCCTGCATTGGCAGGCTGATTCTGTACCACTGAGCCCCCCTCCAGGGAGGATGCGGGGAGTGTCAAACATCAGCTGTCAAAGGGAAGTGTTCGGGGGTCCCTCTACCACCTGCTAACTGGGAGAACTTGGCAAAATGGGGCACTTCCCTGAGCCTTCCCTGAGTTGGGTTACTGGGAGGAGGAAGCCTGACTGTCTGGAGTAGGTCTGGCGTAGCGCGCCTGTGGGTGGCGTCCTCTCCTCCCCCACAGCTGAGCCCCTGAAGCCCACTGCTTCTGTGCATCCGGCCTCCCCACAGCCTCAGCTGGCCCATCCCGCACTCAGGCCAGGCCCTCTGGGGCGGGCGAACCTGGGGGGCACCCCCATCTCTCCCAGGGCCCAGCTGCAGCGGATGCCCTGGGGTCCAGCCTCACTCTGATTGAGGGTGGCAGAGCAGGCTGCCCCATCAGCTTCCACTGGGGCCTCACCCTGGGGCTGCAGACTCAGAGCCTGCAGGGCCCTGGGGCTGGACAGTGTGGGCGGGCCTGGGACCTCTCAGAGGGCGAGCCAGCCATCGCTGGGCACCGGCTGATGCCTCCAGGATGGCCACTGCAGCTGGAGCTTCCAGTATTTCCAGAAAGCCAGAAATCTGGGTCTTGATCTGAAATCTGTTTATAAATGTCAACCATGAGTGAATGTGTGTAAACACAGTGCAATGGAGGTGGATGAGGAAGGAAACACAGGAGGGGTTAAGGTTGGGGTCCAGAATGGGGGGAAGGAGGGGGCGGTGGGCAAGCTGACAGGGCTGCCTGGAGACGGAAGGGCGTCCCGCACCTTGGCTCCCAGCCGAGCTGTGAGTGTGTGAGCCTGAGCAACGACGTGTCTCAGTCCTCATTAACACCCTGCCCTGCCCGTCTGACTCCGCGTGGTTCAGGGGCCCTGCAGGAATCAGCCGTGGCCTGTCTGTGGAGTGACCAGCGTGCAGGAGCGCGGTCAGGCCCCCTCAAGTTCACCCAGCATGCTGTGGGGGCGGGGGCTCCCAGGGGGAGGTCCGCAGGGCCGTTAGGGTCACTGAGCCTGGGCTGGGGCTCCAGATGCCAGCTCCACGCATCCAATTTCAGACTTAATCCAGGCAGTCTCCCGGGACCCAGGGAACCGTGCTCATCAGCTTTAGGGAGTGGGCGGCAGCCCCCTGGTGTGTGTCTGCTCATCGCACTGCCGGCTTATAAGGCTGGGGCCTCGTGGGACTCTGAGCAGCCCCCAAAGAGGCGGCGGAGAGGGGGGCAATGCACGCTGTCTCTTTCTGCAGGATGCACTTGGATGCCTGGGTGTGCTGGTGGGTGTGTGTGCCTGTGTGTGTTTCTGAAGGCGTGTCTGTGCCCGTTTCTGTGTGTGTGTCACGAGAGTTGATGCCTTTGCAGAGTGGTTGGCAGCGGGCAGGGTGCCTGGAGGCCAGCCCCAGGTCTCGGCAACTTCAGCCTGACACGGGCAAGAGCGGAGATTGGCCTGGGGGGCGTGGGAGAGGGCCCAGAGAGTCGGAGCTGGGGGACCCCGGGCACGAAAGCCCCCCGTGTTGGTGTAGGTGGGAAACTGAGGCAGAGTCAGAGGCTGGGAGACAGGAGGAGGAGGGGCGTGCTGAGAGCCAGGCTGAGCGGAGGGAACGACGGGCCTGGCTTACCTTCCTGTAAAAGCCATGAGACCCACCCGACCCGGCGTGGAGGAGAGGGCAGCGGGCTGGGCTGCTCCTGGCCCCCACCCGCACCGCCTCTGCGCCTGCCCCGCCTCTGAGATATGGGTGCTCAGCGCGCTATTAGCCCCAGGCAGCTGCCATTCCCCACTCAATCTGCTAAATTTATGCTTCTGGGAAGACGCACACCCTCAACCAGAGCTGAGTGGGATTCATACGAAGCGGGGAGAAACCCTGCTTCTCTCACGTCAGCGTGTCAGAGCCTGAGAGCATTAGCTTCGCCCTCTCTGACAGCTCGGTCCCCAGACGCCCAGCCTGGCTGTGCCCGAAACTCCGTACGGCCGGAGATGGCCTGGGCTGTAGGCAGCCGCCGCCTTTGAAACAGCATGGTGAAATATGCACAACATCATAGCTCTCATCTCAAGCACACGGCTGCTCAGTGGCCGTCTGAGGGCATTCACAACACTTTGTACCTGTCACCACCTTCTGCACCCGAAGCTCCTCGTCATCTCCAGCAACTCCGCCCCCTTAAGCACTAACCCCTCATCCCCTCCCCCAGCCACCCACACCCTTCTGCTTTCTGTCTCCATGAAACTGACTACTCTGGGCATTTCGTTTGCGTGTAATTGTGTAACTGTATGGCATCCTCCCTTCTGTGACAGGCGTGTTTGACTTGGCATGACGCCATCCAGGTTTCTCCAGGTTGGAGCAGGTGTCAGAACTTCATTCCTTGTTATGGCCCGATCCTGTTCCATGGTATGGATGGGCCACAGTTTGTTTATCGATTTACCCGGCCACGGACACTTGGGTTGCTTCCACTTTTGGCTGTTGTGAGTAACGCTGCTGTGAGCGTGGGTGTGTAAACACTGGTGCAAGCCTGTGCTCTCTTAGGAGTAGTCACGCAGGCGTGGAGATGCTGACAATTCTGTGCTTACCCTGCTGAGGACGTGCCAAGCCGGCTCACAGCCCCACCCGCAGTGCACAAGCTTCCGTTTCTCCACAGCCTTGCCAACCCTTGCTGCTCTCTCTGTCTCTGATCCTGGCCGTCCAAGTGGGTGTGGGGTGACGTCTCATTGTGGTCTAGACGCACGTTTCCCTGGTGGCTGATGATGCCGAGCGTCTTCTGTGCTCATCGGCCATTTGTAGACCACCACTGGGGAAATGTCTATTCAAACCCTTTGCCCATTTTGCATTGGGACCTGCAATCTTTTTGAAGCCTGTCTCCGTAAGTCACAGAGGTCAACAATGCTGCCGGACTGGGTCTTGGTGGTCTGAATTTGAACTTCGGGAGGCTGGGATCCCATCATGCTGAGGGATGCTGCAGGACTCTGGGGTGGGGCCTCTGGGAGGCCAGGACGATGAGGACAGGAGACCTCTCGGGGGGACAGTGCCAGGAGATGGGGTGCAGAGCCCCCCTGATTGCAGGTGCTGGGAGCACAGCATGGGTGGGCATTCCCCTGATGGAAGAGAGTGAGGACCCCAGGGCGTACGTGCTGAGGGGGCTCCTTTGGGGGACAGTCTTCCTCGTGCTCTCATGTCCTCCTGCCAGGCCGGGGGCTTATGTCACGTTTGTCCTGCCAGCTGCTCACTCAGCAAACACTCCTGGGCACCGTGTGCCAGGGCCTGTGATGCCCGCAGGGACCCAGGCAACTGGGTTCCTCTCCTGACGCAGCCCACAGTTCTTTCTTTTAAAGCTTCTTATTTTATTTTTAAAAATCTTTTGGCCATGCCACACAGCGTGTGGGATCTAGTTCCTTGACCAGAGACTGAGCCCATGCCTCCTGCATTAGGGGCAGGGGTCTTAACCACTGGACCACCAGGGGCGTCCTAGTGTGCAGTCTTCAGCTGTGCCACCCAATTTTGTGGGTACTCGTCACTCCTAACTAATGCAATTCAAGGCAATAATATAAAGTGGGGCTTCTTCTAGCCAAGATGGAGTGCCAGGGGCCAGATTCACCTTCCCAGCTGACATAAGCAAGAAGTGGACAGAAATATATTAAAAAGTTCTTTCTCAGGATGAGGGCCATCAGACAGAGGAGTAGGGATAGAGGCTGGAAACGCTGCGACCACCCCAGCACCTCCTACTGCCGTGGAGCCAGAAGGAGGGGTGCAGGGGGCTCCCTGAGTCAGCAGGGGAGCTGAAGAGGGGGACCAGGGAGGCGAGAATGTGGGACTGGCAAGCTGGGGAGGAGAGAGCGGCACACGAGAGCCCTGGGCTGGCAGAGGGCCCCTCTCAGGGCTCAGCTGATTCTGTTGGGGAATTATCAGCACATGTAAGTCAGGGAAATACTCGAGGTGGGAGAGGACTAGGGGTCGCAGACCTGCTATTCAGGGGTGGTGTCTGTTCCACAGTCGTCTAGAAAAGTTCGGGACTCCTGGGCCTGAGGCAGAGGCCTCTCAAGGGTTTTGTGTCCGTGGTGGGTGACCCAGACTTAGAGCTCTGCTCCACTTCTGCCTAGAAAGCCTTTAAAGCAACGCTCCAAGGGATCAAACTCTTTCCACATCTCAGAAAGAGAACCCAGCGTCCGACAAGGTAAAATTCACAATGTCTGGAATCCCATAAAAAAAACAAACATGCACAGAAGTTGGAAAATGCAATGCATAATGAGGAGATAAATCATCAAAACTAAACCAGGACTGACACAGATGTTAGGACGAGCAGACAGAAGCATTAAAACAGTTATTACAACTGGATTCCATATGTTCAGAGTTAAGCAGAGACATGGAAGATGTAAAAACACAACCCAGGTTAAACTTCTAGAGATAAAAACTCCAGTGCTGGAAATGAAAAACTCAGTGTTTATAATTGATGATGGATTAGACATTGCAGGAGAAATGATTAGCAAACTTGAAGATACAGTCATAGAAATGATCTGAATTGAAACATAGAGAAACATTAATTTAAAAATAAACAGACTGTCAGTGAGTATTAAGAAATCTTCAAGTTGCTAAATATGCTTAATAGGAGTATCTGAAGGAGGGAGAGAGGTGGGACAGAAGAATGCTGGAAGAAATAATAGCCAAATGTTTATCATGGATGATGAAAACTTATATATCCAAGAAGGTCAAGGAAGTCCCGGCATGAAAATTATAGAAAAAACACCAAAGTGCATCTTCATCAAATTGCTCAAAGCCAGTGATAAAGACAAAATCTAAAAGCAGCTAGAAAGTAAGAGAGAATTCACACTGTGGAAGCAAAGTAAGGATGACAGCAGACTTCCTGTGGAAAATGCAGAACAGACGGTGGAGCAACATCATCGAAGTCCTCAAAAGAAAAGAATCGATCAATGTAGAATTCTATACCCAGTAAACTGTCTTTCCAAGACAAAGCAAAAAAAGACATCTACAAACATACAACAGCTGAAAGAACTCACCAGAAGACCTGCAGTACAAGAAATGTTAAAGGGGGTCTTTCATGGAGAAAGAAGGTGATACCGGGTGGGCATTTGGAGCTACATACAGTAGTGGGAAGTACTGAAGTGAGCACTTCTGTACATAAATACATGAGATGCATTATTACTATTCAAATACATTTAACAGGTGATTATTTAAACAAAGATGGCAATAGTGCAACATGGAGTTTATGACACGTGCTAAGTCACTTCAGTCGTGTCCGACTCTTTGCGACCTCATGGACTGTCGCCTGTCAGGCTCCTCTGTCCATGGGATTCTCTAGGCAGGAACACTGGAGTGGGTTGCCATTTCCTCCTCCAGGGGATCTTCCTGATCCAGGGATCAAACCTGCATCTCTTGCATCTCTTGCATTGGCAGGTAGGCTCTTTACCACTAGCGCCACCTGGGAAGCCCATTTATGACATACAATTAAGTAAAATGTATAAAAACAGCAACAAAGTTTTGAAGGGAATAAATGAAAATATTCTAACGCTATTATATTGAACATGAAGTGCTATAACATTGCTTGAAGTGGACTGTGATAAGCTAAATATGCTTCCTATAAACATTAAAACAATCAATAAACTACACATCAAGGCACCATAGCTAATAAGCCAACAAAAAGATAAAATCATAAAAGCATATTGAATTAATCCCAATGAAGGCAGAAAAAAATGAAAAGGAGAAAAACAGATGGAACAAATAGAAAATAAATAACAAGATAATGGACTTCAACCTACCAATAGCACATTAAATGTAAATAGTCTAAATAGCCAAAATGAGGGACAGATGGACAGATTGGGTAGAAAAGCAAGATCCAACTATATACTTTGTCTATAAGAAACACACTTTAAATATAAACATACAAATAAGTTAAAAGTAAAAGAATTGGAGTGGACAACCTTGGTGGTGCAGAGGACAAGAATCTGTTCTCCAAAGCAGGGGACGTGATCTTGATCCCTAGTCTAGGAAGATTCCACATGCCTTGGAGCAACAAAGCCCATGTGCCATAACCACCGAGCCTGCACTCTAGGGCCCATGAGAGCTGCAGGCTCTGAGCCACGTGCTACAATGAAAAGTAGCCCCCACTTTCCATAGCCCGAGAAAGCCTGCACAAAGCAATGAAGACCCAGCGCAGCCAAAAGTTAAACCAAATAAATAAAATAATTGGAAAAAAAAATCCTATGCTAATACGAATCAAAAGACCTCTGTAGTGGCTATATTAATACCAGACAAAACAGCTTTCAGAGCACAGAATATTGCCGGGGATAAAGAAAAGTGTTTCGTAATGATGAAGGGGTCAATTCATGGAGAGGACAAAATAATCCTAGATGTTTATGCAACAAATAGAAGAGCTTCAAGATACACAGAGCAGAAACTAATAGAACCAAGAGGAGAATTAGAAAAAGTTCACAATTAAAGCCAGAATTGTAATATCTCTTTTTAAATAATTGTCATAACAAGTCGGCAATCAGTAAGGCTATCAAAGACTTAGAAGTCAGACTCAACTGACTTTCATGAAACTCTCACCCTCGACAAGAGAATGGCCATTCATTTCACGCACATATGGAGCATTTACTAAGATGGATTGTATTCCAGGCCACAACACAAACCCCCAGAATATGAAAGGATCCAAGTCATAAAAAGTATGTTATCTGACTACAGTGGAATTAAATGAGAAATGGAAGATTTCTGGAAAATCCCCCAGATTTGGAAACTAACACATTTCTTAATAACCTATGGGTCAAAGAAGAAACCAGGAGGGAAGCTGAAAAGTATTTTGAACCGAATCAAAATGAAAACTGCAAATCCCACAGAAAATATGTGGATTTGGCTAAGTCACTCCTGAGGGGGACATCATTTATTGTATTGAATGCCTATATTAGAAAGGAAAAAAGATTTCAAATCAATGACTTCAGTGTCCACCTTCGGAACCTAGAAAAAGGGGGAACAAATGAATCCCAAAGTAA